GGATCCAGCCTCGAAGCTGCATCTGTGGAACACAACCTAATTTGGTACATACTTTTTAAGTATTTTGACCCGTTGTGGAACACAACCTAATTTGGTACATACTTTTATAAGTATTCTAACCCAACTCGCCTTCGGAACACAACCTAATTTGGTACATACTTTTATAAGTATTCTGACCCATCTCACCTTATTGATTTCTTCATATCCGATTCCATTTTCATCCGACTCAATTGGCTCAACTCCGTGGCACATGCTGACCAGGTAGCAGTGTCCACTTTGTTAACCAATTCCATACAGAACACGGATCAGCCTCGAAGCCACAACCTAATTTGGTACATACTTTTATAAGTATTGTGACCCATCTCGACTAAATTTCTTTATATCCGATTTCATTTCCATCCGACTCAATTGGCTGAACACCGCGGCACATGCTAACCAGGTAGCAGTGTCCACTTTCTCAAACATTTCCATACCAGTACACGGATCCTCCTCGAAGCTGCATCTGTGGAACACAACCTAATTTGGTACATACTTTTATAAGTATTGTGTCCCATCTCAGCTTTCTGTGGAACACAACCTAATTTGATACATATACTTTTATAAGTATTGTGAACCATCTCGCCTAATTTCTATATATATATCCGATTCCATTATCATCCGGGTCAATTGGCTCAACTCCGTGGCACATGCTAACCAGGTAGCAGTGTCCACCTTCTCAAAAATTCCATACCAGTACACGGATCCAGCCTCGAAGCTGCATCTGTGGAACACAACCTAATTTGGGACATACCTTCATAAGTATTGTGAACCATCTCGCCTTAATTTCTTTGCATCCGATTCCATTTTCTCCCGACTCAATTGGCTCAACTCCGTGGCACATGCCAACCGCGTAGCAGTGTCCACTTTCTCAGCCAATTCCGTACCAGTACACGGATCTGCCTCGAAGCTGCATCTGTGGAACACAACCTAATTTGGTACATACTTTTATAAGTATTGTAACCCATCTCGCCTAAATTTCTTTATATCCGATTCCATTTTCATCCGACTCAATTGACTCAACTCCGTGGCACATGCTAAACAGGTAGTCGTGTCCACTTTCCCAACCAATTCCGTACCAGTACACGGATCTGCCTCGAAGCTGCATCTGTGGAACACAACCTAATTTGGTACATACTTTTATAAGTATTGTAACCCATCTTGCCTTAATTTCATTATAACGATGTCCACTTTCTCAACCAATTCCGTACCAGTACACGGATCCAGCCTCGAAGCTGCATCTGTCGAACACAACCTAAATTGGTACATACTTTTATAAGTATTGTGACCCATCTCGCCTAAATTTCTTTATATCCGATTCTATTTTCATCCGACGGAATTGGCTCAACTCCGTGGCACATGCTAACCAGGTAGCAGTGTCCACTTTCCAACCATTCCCATACCAGTACACGGATCCAGCCTCGAAGCTGCATCTGTGGAACACAACCGAATTTGGTACATATTTTTATAAGTATTGTAACCCATCTTGCCTAATTTATAGATATCCGAACCCGTTTTCATCCGACTCAATTGGCTCAACTCCGTGGCACATGCTAACCAGGGAGCAGTGTCCACTTTCTCAACCAATTCCGTACCAGTACACGGATCTCCTCGAAGCTGCATCTGTGGAACACAACCTAATTTGGTACATACTTTTATAAGTATTGTGCCTCGCCTTATTTATATATATATCCGATTCCATTTTCATCCGACTCAATTGGCTCAACTCCGCGGCACATGCTAACCAGGTAGCAGTGTCCACCCAACCAATTCCGTACCAGTACACGGATCTGCCTCGAAGCTGCATCTGTGGAACACAACCTAATTTGGTACATACTTTTATAAGTATTGTAACCCATCTCGCCTAAATTTCTTTATATCCGATTCCATTTTCATCCGACTCAATTGACTCAACTCCGTAGCACATGCTAACCAGGTAGCAGTGTCCACTTTCTCAACCATTTTCATACCAACCACGGATCCAGCCTCGAAGCTGCATCTGTGGAACACAACCTAATTTGGTACATACTTTTAGAAGTATTGTGAACCATCTCGCCTTATTTATATATATATCCGATTCCATTTTCATCAGACTCAATTGGCTCAACTCCGTGGCACATGCTAACCAGGTAGCAGTGTCCACTTGCTCAACGATTTCCATACCAGTACACGGATCCAGCCTCGAAGCTGCATCTGTGGAACACAACCTAATTGGGTACATACGTTTATAAGTATTGTGAACCATCTCGCCTTATTTATATATATATATCCGATTCCATTTCCATCCGACTCAATTGGCTCAACTCCGTGGCACATGCTAACCAGGTAGCAGTGTCCACTTGCCAACCATTTCCATACCAGTACACGGATCCAGCCTCGAAGCTGCATCTGTGGAACACAACCTCATTTGGTACATACTTTTATAAGTATTCTGACCCATCTCGATTGCATCTGTGGAACACAACCTAATTTGGTACATACTTTTATAAGTATTGTGATCCATCTCGCCTTATTTATATATATATATCCGATTCCATTTTCATCCGACTCAATTGGCTCAACTCCGTGGCACATGCCAACCGCGTAGCAGTGTCCACGTTCTCAACCATTTCCATACCAGTACACGGATCCAGCCTCGAAGCTGCATCTGTGGAACACAGCCGAATTCGGTACATACTTTGATAAGTATTCTGACCCAACTCGCCTAAATTCTTTCTTTATATCCGATTCCATTTTCATCCGACTCAATTGGCTCAACTCCGTGGCACATGCCAACCAGGTAGCAGTCTCCGTTTTCATCCGACTCAATTGGCTCAACTCCGTGGCACATGCTAACCAGGTAGCAATGATCACTTTCTCAACCATTTCCATACCAGTACACGGATCCAGCCTCGAAGCTGCATCTGTGGACCACAACCTAATTTGGTACATACTTCTATAAGTATTGTGACCCATCTCGCCTTAATTGATACATATCTGATTCCATTTTCATCCGACTCGATTCCCTCAACTCCACCGCACATGCTAACCAGGTATCAGTGTCCACGTTCTGAACCATTTCCATACCAGTACACGGATCCAGCCTCGAAGCTGCATCTGTGGAACCGAACGTCAGTTGGTACATACTTCTATAAGTACTGTGACCCATCTCGCCCTAATTTCTTCACATCCGATTCCATTATAATCTGACTCAATTGGCTCAACTCCGTGGCACATGCTAACCAGGTAGCAGTGTCCACTTTCTCAACGATTTCCATACCAGTACACGGATGCAACCTCGAAGCTGCATCTGTGGAACACAACCTAATTTGGTACATACATTTATAAGTATTGTGAACCATCTCGCCTAATTTATATCTAATATATATCCGATTCCATTTTCATCCGACTCAATTGGCTCAACTCCGTGGCACATGCTAATAATTTGTTTATATCCGATTCCGATTTCATCCGACTCAATTGGCTCAATTCCGTGGCACATACCAACCAGGTAGCAGTGTCCACTTCCTCAACCAATTCCATACCAGTACACGGATCCAGCCTCGAAGCTGCATCTGTGGAACACAACCTAATTTGGTACATTCGTCTCTAGGTTTCGTGACACATCTCACCTATGTTTACGTAGATCCGATGCCGCTTTCATCCGACTCAATTGGCTCAACTCCGTGGCAC